GGCACTTCATCTCTGCCCCCCTTCTCCCACCCCTCCCCGAGGCCATAGCACAAGAGTACCAGTACACCTTTTCTAGCCAGCACCAAGAAGCTCAGCTTGTCCGTCTTTACCAGGAGCCCAAGCTGGAGATGACCAAGGGCTGTGGCTGGACCCAAACCCGCCCCTGCACTCGAGCTGTTCTCCAGGCTCATGAGGTGGCAGCGGCAGCCGTGCTGTGCAGAAGCCCGAGAGGACGACCTGCGCCTGGGTGAGACATCAAGCTCCGCTGGTCAGAGGCTTCTGGCTCCTTAAGGGCACCCACCAGGCAGGGCACCTGGGCTTTCCCCACCCACTCCCAGGACTTATTTCCTGTCCCTTCCCAGGCCATCATATGCTGTAGGGATGGAGGGGCTATCAGGGCACTGGCAGGGACAGATGTGTACCCTCATCAGATGCTACTCCTGCACGATATAGAAATAAAGTTCTTTCTCACAGCTAGCAGGGCTGTGTCCTTTCCCTGTGGCCCACGTGGTTGGCCAACCAGCTCCTCCTGTGTTCCTCCCAGCTCCAGGCCTGAAGGTGAAGTCTGGAGGCCCTAGCAACTGCTCGACTCCTGGGCCCAGTGTCCTCATTCAGATGTCACTGTCTTTGCAGAGAGCTCTGTCCCTCTGCCCCCGACTCTGCTATTCTCAAACTCGTCTGTCTAATAGGTCCCTCACAGTCACCTGAAGCCTCGTGTCCCCTTGGTCCTTCATTGTCACCTGCAGTCCTGGATGTCCACTCAGTCCCTCACAGTCACCTCATCTGACTACTTGGTCCCTCACAGTTACCTGCAGCCCTATCTGTTCACTCAGCTCCTATCACTGGTGGCCCCATCTGTGCAACTAACTCCCAGCTTTCTCATCTCTAGCCTGTGGTTGGCCCAGGTTCCCAGTATTGGGGTTGGGGGTGCAGCTTTTATCTGGGATGGACCCAGCATGAATTTCTAGTCCTGCTCACCTAGCCAGAAATGGAAACCTGAGCCTCTTGGTCTCAGCCCTCTTTAATAGCACTGACACTGTAGCAGCTCTTGCTGCTTAAAAAATAGCAGCCCTGGTGGTTTCTTGAACATTAAACAAGGGCCAGCCCCAAGGCTTGGTAGTTAAGGAAGCCCAATCCCACATGACCAACCATGTGATTCAAGTTCCAGTCCTGCTGGCTTGAAAAACATGCCAGACCCATGGACAAATGTGCCCAAGATCTCTACAGGGTGAAAAAATGGAGAAGGGATTCTGGCATGACTATGCCTCATTAGGAGGTGCTTTCTCCCTCTCCCTCTGTCTCTGGTGTGCAAGTACCCTCTGGCAAAACAAAACAATAAAACAGAAAAGCAAAAACATACCTGCCATAGGATCCAGTCATGCCCAGCCTAGGTACTTGGGTACTAACCCAAGAGAAATGGAAGTGCACTTCTCCACCAAGACTTGGCCAGGGATGCTCATAATAGCTTGTTTGTAATCACCAAAATGTAGAAACAACCCAAATATTAACAGGTGAATGAATGAACAAATTGTGATAGAGCCTCACAACGGAGTATTAGTCAGCAATAAAAGAAATACACATGCAACAACATGAATCTCACAAGAATTATCCTGAGCAAAGAAATATAATTTCACATGCGCTACATATAATTTCATTTTAAAGTGAAATCCTAGGAAAGGTAAAATGAATCTGTAATGACAGCAGATCAGAGGCTGTCTGGGGACAGGGTTGAGGGGAGAGGTTACGAAGAGGCACAGGAAACCTTTGGGGGTGATGGATTTACTGACTATGGTGATCGTTTTGCAGATCTACGTCTGAGTGTGTCAAACTTACAGAGATAGGTGTGGTTTACGGGGTGTCAGCCATACCTCCGCAGAGCTGTTGAAACAATACCTGCTCTCTCTGAGCACCACCCAGCAAGTCCCTGTGGTTCCCCTTCCTATCTATTCCTCCTGGTCCCCTCAGTCTCTGGGGGAAGCTGAGACAAGTTCTCTCTGACTGTGGAGAAGAATGGAGGGGGTGGTCCTCACCATCATCTCTGCCTACCATCACACAGAACATGACCACAGACCTCCCTGTCCACCCAGGGCTACGCTGAAGTGGGTGGCTTTGTTCCCCTCCCTTAATGTTCCATAGGTCTGGCCTGGCCACCTCCTTATCCCTCCTGGCACATCAGAGTGCCCAAGAAAGGATACAGTTAGGGGAGCCTGTCTTGAGGTCTGGCACCACCTGGTGTTCTCTCACATTTTCTGATATAGTCACTGCCTCAGTGTTCATTTTTGGGCTTGACATAAGCTGCTTGAAACCCAGTCATATTCCATCACCTTGGGCCTAGTTTCAACGCCACTCCTCCCCCAATGGTATGTGCCATCTAGCCTGCTGTTCCCCACCCACTAATTCAAAACCCAAAACACCTTACAGCTGCTAACCACAATAAAACCTAAAGGCCAACACCAGAGTAGTAAATACGTTTCCCCCTGGTTTCCTTTAGCCAATCCATGGCATCCACTCAGGGAGCACATCTTAATAAAGGCTTAGCCCCCACCCTCCCCACCTGCTGGTTGAGTATCAACTGTTTTCAGCCTGCTTGCTGTTCTCAACCTGTGAGTGATAAAGTGTTTCTTCTACTTCTGGAGTTTTGTGGGGCTGCTGCTTTGTGTCTTTCCTTAGCATATGCCAAAGAATTTTCTGGTAAGACAGACAAGCAACAAATTAATAGTGGTCAGGACCAGCATGGTAGTTACAGATGCTAGACTCCCACATGGCCGACTGCGGTTCAAATCCCAGTTCTGGCGGCTTGCTCTCTTTCTCTCTGTCCCTCTCTGGTCAAATTAAAGTAAATAAAGAAAGTTAAATAAAATAATTTTTCCACAGCCAGTGTGGAAGGATGATTTTTCTTTAAAAGAAAATAATTAACAGTGGTAACTTTTTAAAAAAGAGTTTTCCTATAGGGCGTTTGCACTTGCCAGAGAGAGACAGAGAGACAGCAAGAAATCCCCCCCCCGCCCCTCACAGGGGATGGTCACACTGCAGTCCCTTCTCCTCCGTTCTCCTCTCAGGATTTCTGGCACTTATGCACATACACTTGGCGTGAGTTTTAAGCTGCTGTGTCCAGGACTTAAACCACAGTCTACTATGTGGGAGTCCAGCGACGTAACCATTATGCCATTCTGCTGGTCCCACAAGTGGCTTTTTAAAATAATAAGTTCAACTTCATAAGAGAAGTGCATATTAAAATGATACTAAAATACATTTCTATCAAATTATCATTGTCAAATCTGGTAGCATTGTGTCAGTGAAGGAGTGAAGAAATAGACTTGAAATATATTCCATAGGGAAATATAAAGTGCTACAGTAACTATGAAGAGCAACCTGTTCATAATTAACAACATTTTAAATGAACAGACCCTTTGACATAATTGTACATAAGCCAAATACCATGTGGGCAAGAGTATATGTTGCATTGTTGAGTGTTAAAGATCAGAGATGATCTATGTGTTCTTCAACGGGATTTGCTAAGGAGAGTATGGCATCTAAACAAAATATAACCATGATTTAAACAAAAACAAAACTTCAGTCCTATGTTGAACAGAAGTGGTGAGAAATAGACAACCTTGCTTTTACTAGATCTTAGAGGAAAAGCATTCAGTTTTAACCTGTTGATTATGTTAGCTGTGGGCTTTTCAAATATGGCATTTATTCTGTATTGTGTTGATATAACTTCCTTTTATATCTATTTTGTTGAGAAGTTTTTTAAAATTTTAGTCATGAATGGATTTTACACTTTGTCGAATGCTTTTCCTGCATCTGTTGAGATGATCATGTGGTTTTGATCTTTCCTTACGTCAGTGTGATGTTCCACATTGATTTGCATAGACATGCTCACATCCTGAGGATAAATCCTACTTGGTCCTGGAGTATGATCCTTTTAATGGGCTGTCAAATTTGATTTTCTAGTATTCAAGTGAGGATTTTTGTACGTATGTCCACTAGGGACTTGGGTCTATTGTTTTTGTTTTGTTGTGGTGGTGGTGGTGTTTTTATCTGGCTTTGGTATCAGGGTGTTGCTAGTCTCATAGAAAG